AGCCGTGCAGAGGGGAAGGGGAGGAGAAGGAGCCTGGGGGTGGGTGGGGGGAGCAGTGCCAGGGGAAAGAGCCCCAGCATGGTGGCTGCAGCAGGGCGGGGCAGGTGTTCTCACCGATAACGCTGCAGAGCAGGCGCAGGCTGGTGGTGTCGCCCTCCCCGCTGTCCCGGGGATTGTCCTTCCAGGAGGGCGGGAGCGGGATGCGGAGCCCGATGGGCCGGTGGAACTTCCTGCGGCGCGGCTCCACGGTGACGATGGGACTGAAGGTCGCCTGGTTCCCCAGCAGCTTCGTCACCAGCTCATCCGGCACGGGCTGCGCCTGTGGGACAGAACAGGCAGGGCCATGAGGGCCAGCTCCCCCCACCCCAGCTCGGAACCGGTCACCGGCTGGCACCCCTTGCCCTGGGAGACGATGGAGTAACTGCTGCCCAGCACGGCCGGTCTGGAACCAGCCTGCTGCCTTGGAAGAGCCCGTCTCTAATTCGTCTGCCCATCCACCACAGGGGCAGGAACACCTGGTCCCTGCACAGCTGGCCCAGGCCCCGTGTCTCTGTCCATCCCCAGGGGCAGGGAGACCCGGTACCTGCACAGCCTGCCCAGGCCCCATCCCTCTGTCCCTCTGTCCATCCCCAGGGGCAGGGAGACCCGGTACCTGCACAACCTGCCCAGGCCCCATCCCTCTGTCCCTCTGTCCATCCCCAGGGGCAGGGAGACCCGGTACCTGCACAGCCTGCCCAGGCCCCATCCCTCTGTCCCTCTGTCTGTCCCCAGGGGCAGGGACACCTGATACCTGCAGAGCCAGTTTGACTCTCTTGGTGACGGCTGTCTCCGGGAAGGTGGCCTGCACCATGGGAACCAGCGTACTCTTCAGACACCCCCCATCGGGGCCAATCAGGTCGCAGTCCTGGCAGACACGGGACATAACCACGAAGTAGAGGGGGAAATCGGTGCTGATGATGCGGCAGATCCTCTTCTTCTCCAACTCCTCCAGGCTCTCCAGCTCTGCAATGGCAGCCCCACCGTGAGAAAGCAGGGCCCAGCCATGCACTGGCCCCACCTCCACTTCGTCCAGCCCCATGTCACCCAGCTCCGTGCCAGCCTTGCCAACACTCTGCACCAGCCCCACTCCTGCCCCCACTCTGCCCAACCAAGCCTCAGCCCTGCCTGCATGTGCCAGCCCTGCCCAGGCACACTCTGCCTACTGCCCTGGCTGTCCCCTGCAGCCAGGCAGGGACACCCTGCCCCATGGGAAGCCTGCCTCTGGCCTAGAGCACTCACCTTCGTCCATGCCGTTGAGCACCTGGTCCAGGTAGCTCTCGCTGTAGCGGCTGCGGTGCTCCTTCCAGACGGAGCCATTCTCGCTGCGCAGCACCACTAGCTCCCGATCCCGCCGCCCGTACGACGCAAAGTGTGGGATCTCCACAATCACAGGGCTGCAGGAGAGCATGGCGCTGAGAGGGGCCTGGGGCTGAGGTGTGCTGCTGCCACAGCACCGAGCGCCGCTCAGCAGGGCCTAGTCAGGAGGGAATCAAGCTGCCCAGACGGGGGAGGGCAGGGGAGCCTAGTGGGGAAAGCCCAGAAGAGGGAGCCAGGACATCTGTGATTTGGGACTCACCCTATGGACTTGGGCAAGTCTCTTCACACTGATCCTTGGCCTCCCCCCGCCCCAAAGGTGCAAATGCCCCATAGGGGTCACGGGACTGGCTGCTTGCAAAGGACTCCACAGATCCCACTGGCCCATTATAATGGGGCCTGCCTGTCTGCAGCACTTGATGTCAGTGCACTGGGCTCCCAGGCCAAGCCCCTGCCTATGGGGTGTGACGCTGGCAGGCCATGTGCCAGCTCATGCCAAGGGCCCACGTCTCTGCTGCACACTGACAAATACGTGGCTAGCACCCGTTCGGCTCACCTGTGTGTTAGTATTGTTAAAATGGGTATTAGGATTCTCAGCATGTGTTTAGACTTTAACAACGCTGGTGAGTGGCTGCCTGCATAGATCTCATAGCATCTGTATCCCAGACTGTACGGTAATATTTGAGCATTTGTTCTGTAAGCGTCTCTGCCATCGCCAAGCACCACACAGGAGAGAGACATTAACTAGTGTAATGTGCTGCTCTCCAACAAGAGCTGTTATATCCTGGCCAACAAGGAAGCTTCATTGACACCAGACGGACTAAAGTGGGACACTAAAGAGGACAAAAGAGTTTGTAGCTCTGTTCTTCCCCCCATGAACATGAGTCACACAAGTGGATTCCTCCCAGCAGCTGAGTTCTCAGCTCAGAGCACAGGGGGGAAGGGAATGAAAACCTCTGACAAGAAGGAACTGGATCTCTCTGCTGCTTGAATTCTGGAGACAAGGTTTCTAGGGATCCCCAGCTGCTCAGCCTGGGTAGCCCTAAAGGACGTACGGAGCTTGCTTATTATAGAAGCTTCTAATACTTTCTGAAACTTCAGACTGGAACTCTGTGTGTATCTATGTGTATCTGCTTTAACCTTGTAAATAACATTCTTGTTTCCTTTCCCTGGTAACAAATCTGTACATCATTTGCTACAGGACTGGCTACAAGCACTGGGGTGAGCTCCAAGGTGCAACTGATCTGGGGTAAGAGGCTGGACTTTGGGGCTGGGAGTGACCGGCACTGCTGTGATTGGTGCTGTAAGGGACCATCTGCCACAAAGGCATGCCCCCTTGGGTGACAAGAGCGCTAGGGACCGGTCTGTGACTCATGTTAAGGCTCTTACAGTGCCCAAGGAGTTAACCTTGATAACTGGCTGGTTCTAAGGGCAGAACTCACCACCAATGGAGGCTTGCACCCAGGTGCCCTGAGGTCAGAGCTCGCGCTAATGTCACTGCAGGGCAGCTCAACACGGGGCACAGACCAGGATGTAAAATCCCTGGGCCTGACCCTCAGTTGGTGCAAACGGCCACAGCACCACTGGTTCTGGCAGTGCCACTGGCCACAGGGTGGTTCGTGTAGATAAATCTCTGATAATTTTCATATGACTTTACATTGTGCCTCTTCATATAACCTTTTGGTGGGTCTACCCACGT